AACATTGAGGCATCCTGTATCAATTCGTCTCGCTTCGCCAGGTTCAAGGTTCTTGCAAGATTTGCATACCAACATATCACCGTCTCGGATGCACGCTCTATAAAGTGTCACTCGTGCTAATCTTGACATCCGCTCACGTCACTTGATACATCTATATCCCACGGTTGAAATGCCATTATCAAACGTAGTCCATACTTACCCCCCGCGCCTGCCCTGGAGAAAACAGAGGTGAACAAACGCGACCTCGTCCACCCGAGGAAGGAAACCCGGTCCCTCCAACTTATTTCAAGAACTGTGCCTGCCACGCGAGTCGCGCCAGCGGCGGGCGGTAAAAAATGGTGAAACGTGCCGACTACTCTAATCTATTGTAATCAGAAAATGTCTCAGCTCCTAGACCGCGTGTCGCGTTTGACATGCCATTTAGTCCTGATAATTTGGAAGCAGGTCCAGCAACAGGTTTGCAAAATGACTGGCTACATAGTTGGGCGGTTTTATGCCACTAGTCTGGCAAAGTGTCGGTGGTCCATGTTGAAAGCTGCTACAACTTCATGGGTTTTCATTGCATTCATCTGGAGCCGGCTCGGCGGCTGCGCGATGCGCTGACCTCCCCCGTCTGAAGGCTGCGCGACGCGACGGTCTTCGCGGCTGCCACCAAGCGGTCGCCCTCCTAGATCTCCCGGAGAGTGTCTTCCAGCGGCCGCAGCAAGCACATCTTGATGTCCATGTAGTATCCACCTTGCGCGTGGAGGCGTAGCGCCAGAGGTCGGCGCGGTGCGAGGCCTGTGTCCCTCCGAGGTTTCCACCAGGAAGCCACCCATAGCCCGTCGAGTCCGACAGCACCAATGTGAACGTTGGTGCGCTCGCCATGGCTACTGTCTCCGGCAACCGGTGGTGACAGCGAAAGCAGGCAACTTAGCACCCCATGGTGACGTGGAACTGTTGCGTGCAAACTTCGCTGCAGCGGCTGCGCGATGCGCTGACTCCAAGGTAGGGGGTGACATGGAACTGCTCAGGGGTTTTGTGCACTAGCTTCTCGTGCTCATGCCTCTGCTTGTGCTCTGTCTAACAACTCTTGTTTTTCTGATTGTGAACCAAAAGCTCTCGTGGGGGGTGAAATGGAGCTACCCAGGGTGGTTTTGTGCACCAGATTATCGCGCGCATGCCTCTGCTAGTGCTCTTTCTAGCAACTCTTGTTTTTCTTACCGTGAACCAAAAGCTCTCGTAGGGGGTGAAAGGAAACTGCAGGGTGGTATCGTGCTCGTGCCTCTGCTTGTGCTCTTTCTAACAACTCTGGCTTTTCTTACTGTGAACCAAAAGCTCTCGGTCCTCCGGAAATGTTTCCGCTTTGGTGCGACTCTACGCTTGCTGGACTCTGTCTCGCTGACTCCCTCGTTCCCCACACCCGGGCGGTCAGCCCCCTTCTTGCGAAGGATGCTGCCGGGACGCCCAAAGTCCCGGCCCCCGTCGTACACGAGGGTGGGAGAGCGATGCTCCCCCACAACCTTATAGCCGACATAGGGAAAGAGACAGAGACAGCTGCCGACAAATACCGCAACGGAGACAGAGACGGAGACAGAGGCAAACAGAGAGGGGAGAGGGAGAGACAGAGAGAGAGAGAGAGAGAGAGAGAGAGAAAAAAAAAAAGAGAGTGAAAGAAAGTGACACAGAAAGAGAGAGAGAGAGAGA